CCCCTGCTCAGGCTCAGACCCAGGCGCCCTCGCCCAGGGGCAGTGCCCACCGCTCCACAGATACTGGGAAACCACGGGGCCTCAGACGCCTTCTCACAGCGCTCCAGGGAGTGTTACTGCCCATCCCCACCTCCAACTTTAGGGCTTCGGGGGGCCAGGATTTCAGCCTTGACACTGACATGTGAGCCTGTCCTGTGTGTGGCAGGAAGTTGAGCAGCATCCCTGGCCGCTGCCCCTACTGTTGTGACAAAGCCCCCCAGACACCTGTCCCCTGGGCGGGAAACTCATCCCACTGAGAACCAGTGACGGGCAAAGGCCACCCTGAAGGTGCCAATCAGGCGGGGAGGGGGGGAGGGGAGGTGGAGATGGGGGTGGAGGAGACCATCCGTCTCGCTAAATAGAACAGGCTTTGCAGCGGTTCTCAACCTGTGGGTCGCGACCCCTCTGGCGGTCGAACGACCCTTTCACAGGGGTCGCCTAAGCCCATCCTGCATATCAGATATTTACATGACGATTCATCACAGTAGCAACATTACAGTTATGAAGTAGCAACGAAAATAATTTTATGGTTGGGTCCCAACATGAGGAACTGTATTTAAAGGGCCAGAAGGTTGAGAACCACTGCTTCAGAGAGAGACTGGGGCGGCAGGGCTCCGGGAGGAGCGGGCTGGCGCTGACCCACCTTGTCGAAGTACTTGCAGAGGAGGGCCCTGGTCTCGGAGGACGAGAGGTAGCTGAGCTTGGCCATGAGGTTCATCTCGCACTGCGACAGCAGGGAGGCCGAGGCCCGCAGCACCCGCTGCCGCGAGGTGATGGCCTCGTTCTTGTACTCGATGGCCGCGTCCAGGGCCTCAATGGCCTCGTCCAGCTGGAACAGCGTCCGCTCCTCCTGCGGGGTCGTGGCATACGCGGGGTGGGGTGACTGTCCGGGGTCGTGGCATGCACGGGTGGGGGGTTCCCCATTTCCTAAACAACTAAGTCCTAGCACACAGCCACAACTGACCCCTAAGTGTCCCCTTGCCCTGGGCTGTCACAGCCAGACCCCTGGGGAGGCTGGGGCTCTGCACTCAGGGACCTGGGAGTACCCTACACTGAGGGAGGGCCTGGCAGGACCCCTCGGTCCCGACACTCTTGCCCACAGGGGAGCCGAGAGGTGGGGGAGCTGAGATGTGGGGGAGCTGAGGTGTGGGCGGCTCAGTGCACGCAGGATGCAGAGTCCGGTGCAGCTGGAGGGAATGAAGGGCAGCAGCCCCGGCCCGTGTGTCCCCGACCAGGGCTAGAGCCG